AGGAGTAACACATTGGTAAAAGCATTTTATGTAAACGATTGACTGATGTAAATGGCGTTTATTATCTCTTTTGTTTATGTTTTGAATTGCAAAGAAAGCCTTACCAAATATCCGACCTATGCGTACTTGTAAACATGTAGACTTTGCAATTTTGCAAACGTCTTTTACTCCGAATAGACAGACTCAGACTGCATTTACAAATGAGACATGCAAACAACAACAAAATTTATTGACTTTCGGGGTTGTGTGGACTCCATTTCAGACATACATGCCCAGTTTTGTCCCAAATCTACCGCCAGTTTCCCGGGAAATCTAGAATTGTGTTCGCGATCTAGAATATATTAACATTACCTATAACTTCCGAATTACGCTGTACGCGCAATGATTTCTGGCTCTGACTGTGTATAAACATGTTGTGCAACTGAATTTAAAAAAGGAGTTACACATTGGTAAATGCAATTTATGTGGATGCTTGGCTGATGAAAATGGCGTTGATAATCTCTTTTGTTTATGTTTTGAATTGTAAAGAAAGCAATCTATAATATCTGACCTATGCGTATTTTTGAACAAGTGATATATTACTTTCAGACCTTACATGGTAATTTTGGTTTATGTCTTATTAAAAATTAACGCTTTTCAACACGTACTCAATGTAATTCTAATAATAACTACGTCATCAACGAGGTCTTCATAAAAATATTGTATATTTCATTATACTCCGCTTATCCTCACGCCTCTGCATCTAACAGATACATGTGCAAGCATGCGCGGATTTCAAAAGATATACTTCAGGAAGGACCTTTAAAATGACTGGGCGATCACGCCAATTAAACCTACAACAATTTTTTTCAAAGTACTTGTATTCAAAAATTATAGTATTAACCTACGACACTTTTATAGGTATATTCTTCAGCTTGCCGTTGCTGATTCTGCGTTTCTTTTGACTCTCCCGTTCCAAGTTGTTGAAGATGTTAACAACGCATGGATATTTCCAGATTGGATGTGCAAAGCAAAAGAAACTGTTTTAATCATAAACTATTATAGTTCAATTTCTTTCCTCACGGTAAATTATTTTTTATTTCATTTGGTTATCTTAGTAAAAAAGTAAAGTAGTGCTAGCACCGATACTATTTTGTATTGCAATTTCATATATTAAGTTGCGTGGACCTGTATCACTCACGCCTGGTGTTATATGGTAAATGTGACTGATGGGTTATCGACAAAAAATGCTGATAAAATCCTTATTGCAATTCGTAAGGCTACATTTTACAAACAAAGCATGATTGATACAGAGGAAACATAAAATAAAGTAATGCGTACATTAAATTAATTGATTACTACCTAGCACCCGTAGAATTTGAAAGGATAGATTTTTGATTTTGAGTAATTACATGAAAATGATTAGTCGCATATTGCCCCAGTAAAACCAAATTAGTTTACGTCATATTCAAAGATTAATTTGACAGTTGAATGTAACAATTGACACAGGACCCTACCTAAAATTATAAGTTAAATAGGTACAGCTTTGAAACCCAGATGAAAAGATGGTCTCTGGACCATAATGACCGAGGATACGAACGTCCATTTCGGAAAAAGATAATAACAAATACTTTGCTATTACACTGGCAATATATAGGGGTCGCGGTCCAACTATTACACAAACACGTGCAAACATTTCCTGAGAATTGCCTCTATAGGTTATACAAAACCATTTTTTATGATTGATGCAATCATGTATAGAGAAAATTTCGTAGGATTTCTTAGTGTGTGTAATTATTAACAAGTCCATATTACGTATATATTTCTGCATTTGTTTGTTTTATAAACTGTATCGTTGTAAGTCATAATATAATACCATAACATGATTTGATTTCAATGTTGATCACACGGCGGATTTTTTATTAATTAATGTTTTTCAAATGATTAGGCAGGATAGTTTGAATTTTAGGGCTAATTCAGATTTTGGAATAAAAATGATTTAGGTTCTTGCATTATTTTTGTTTTCGTATCAAATCCGAATCTATTTTGCCAATAAATTAATGCTAGTTAAAATACAATTCTAACACTTAAAATATCTCTGTGCATTTAGGTGATGGCTTTGGATCGTTACATTGCAGTGTGTCACGCATTCTCAGACCGGTTGCAAAAATTACGAACTACAAAAGCAGCTTATATTATTACGGCTATTGTATGGACAGTTGCTATATTGATATGTACACCTATTATGATGTACAGCACAAAACGAGGACGTGAACCTTTTTGTAGATGCGCGTGAGAAACTTTTAAATTTATTTTTTTTGCGTATGCGAAGATAAATAATTTTTGCTAAAACACAGGTATTACCATATTTCAAAACATCTCATCATATGTCATCATCTATTTACCGGAAATAAATATTCAAATTTCCCCATTTATATGTTTATTTTGATATATATTATGTCGATTTTTTAATGTCGTTGATTAAAGATTGGTCACTATATATTCATTTTTGATGTTAAATGCCAGGAAGATCAGAGGGTCGAACTTTTGAATAACATTAAATTGAACGTTTCTTACTGCCAGACCCATAAGAACCATCATTTTTAGACTGCAATTCCCCGAGTATGGTCTCGATATGGAAGCTCACAATATTTGCTTGGAAGATTACCATCCCGACAATGATTCTGGATCAGGGTACGGTTACGACGAATGTATGAAAGACATGACCAACAAGGAGAAATCGCCTGTCTGTTCGCCGCCAGATAATAATGTGTACTATTCTTATTTTTTCACGAATGATTGATTTCATTCTTGCTATCATCGTTTTTCGAAGTTTTTGATTTGTGCCTATCATTTGAACGTGTTTCTACAAGCGTTGATCTCAAATTAAATAACAGAAATACATTCTTTTTGTTCACAAAGCCTTCTCAATAAATTTATATATTTTGTAGAGTTGACTTATATCGCACTCAGAACTTATCTATCTTAGGCTATTTATCTTAAACTTACCTTTTTATAGTGAGTACTCAGGAGAAACCTTATCAGAGAGCGATGAGTCGGGTGAAACTCCTAATCCAGGGTGTCAATATAACAAATATAACCTGGGATTTATTGGATTTCTCTATTTTAATTTTATCGTAATGTTCATCGTCCCTTTCATGGTGAGTTTTAAGTTGTACTGATGGAAGTTGTACCCTTCGCTTCATATTTACTAATTATTTTGAGCGATATTTTGCATAATGAGACATTGTTATAATTATTCCAATAACCTCGTATATTTGACCAAATACTCTTGTCTATTAAATATATGTATCTTTGCCAATGAAAGAAAAGTTTAATAAATAACAGCTACAGGCAGTTGGTAAAAGCATAGAAGATACACGCTCGGTCAGGCATGAAAATAAAAGTCGATTGATTAATTAAACGATGCCAATTATATCTTTAAAACTTCTTATTATTACTTATCGATCTTAAGATCGGTGAGTATATTGATAGGTATTTGTATGTCTGTGTGTGTGTGTGTGTGTGTGTGTGTGTGTGTCTGTTAGATGAACGCGATTTCTCACGAACGCGTGGTTGAATCTGCTCCAAATTTTGCATGTGCATGCACCTTACCTCGGACCAGACGCCTATCGATTTTGAGTTAATTATGTAACTATAATTAGCGAGTTATTAAGTAATTACCGATCTAAGATCGATAAGTCTTCGGTCTCCGACCGATATTCTCGTTTTATATATTAACTTATATGAATTATTTCGGTTGGGTAATTTAGTTTGGGAATCATTTTGTTAATTAAATTTCCCTCAGATTTATAAGTAATACTTTTATAGCACAAAACATTGTAATTTATTATGTCACTATATAATTTAGTTGAAATTTACTTGCGCATTTGATTTTCAAAACTAATTGTGGCTGACACATTAGATTTGATAGTGATTAGTTTAAGAGCTATTAATTATTAATAAGCTTCTTACTATACCTCCTAATTGGGGCCTGTATGTTTCCGTTTCCACAAGAATGCTTGAACGAAATAGCATTATAATGAAAAATAACAATAACATAAGATATAATAAACAATATTCGATGTTTGATTCAGTTTTATATTGTTTTGTATGAAAAAGTTAGACTATAAGATTCTTCTCTTTCGTGGAAAGAAATTATGTCATTCTGATAACAATATTAATTAAACTTCATGATATTACAGATTATCGCAGTTTGTTACATTCTGATCATTGTTCATTTACACAAAAAGCGATTTCGAGGGGACGCATTGAGTAGAAAAAGAAAACATGATAAAGACACCGATAGAGTGGTTATTATGTGCGCAATACTAGTCATCGTGTTTGCAGTCTGTTGGCTCCCATATCACTCTGTTCAAATGGCAAAACTGACAGGAATTTCAGGAACTGTGAGTAACTGCTTGTTGAAACTATTCCATAATAATAGTTTAAGCTGAAAATTCATAAAAATACTCCTAAAACAAACACTTCGTCATCACAAAATTATACAATTGCTTGTACGGCTCTTTTGATTTTTATAGATTAAGTCATTCAAATAACCAATAGGCCACATATATATTGTTATTCACTTGAAAAATATTGAAATTATTCACTTTTTAATAGCTATGTTATGGTTTGAACTTGCTCGTGGTTTTCCTCTTAAAAACGTTTTTACTATGTGCTTTTTATATTCTCTGATTTATATTTAACAGAGTGACTTCTGTAGCAAAATCTTCTACGCAGTTTCCCTTGTGGCTTATTCGAACTCTGCCATTAATCCATACGTCTATTTCATCGCTGCAAGATTTAAGAATCAATTAAGGTAAGTTGAATGCATTTCAAATTAAGGCTTAAATTTTAACATTCGTCTGATGTAGCAAAGAGATGTAGCAATTTGTTTGAAAATTTTGAAAGTGATATTTGTTATTTGAGCTTTACAACTACCCAGCGATTGATTAACTTTGAAATAAAAAAAAAAACATAAAATTTAATTGAGAAAATTTACCTATATTTGTTTTCAGACTAATGAAAAACAGTAAACCTTTTTCTGTGATAATGTCGTTTCTCAGCAAGACAACAAAGGCTGATTCAAGTAACAATAAATCACCAAGGCGTACAATTGTTAAAGATGAAAACGAAATCGAAGACCAAGTACAAGAAGATACTGGACTATAAAATCAAGCAAATAAAAACTCCAAAACGTCCTATTAAAACGTCATTCACAAGTGCAAATTATGAAACGTTTCGTCGGCATTGAAATAAAATACATAGTGTCTTGTAGACAAAAAATACTTATTGTTTTGCTATATTGGTTTTAATTGCATTGTTTTGCTTATATGTTATGTTACTAGAACACATGTGACTTCACAAGTGTGGTAATCTTAACATTATACTATTATTTTTGTGATAAACTGAACGGTAAAAACTGAGAAACATTTTGTTTCAGCACAGTTCTATTTTTAGTCTATTGTATTTTCCCTAAACACAGTTGAAGCTTAATTATTAATAATGCTAAATTGAAGTTTTAGAATTTTCAGCAATTCAAACAAAAATGTAGTCTGAATATTTATATCCACTATTATGCAATGTTATTAGCCATCAGCAAAATTGTTATCAAATACTAACAATCTCTGTAATAAAATCTATATTTTCGAATATTTTGGAAATCTTTATACAATCCCAACTTATTGTACACAAAATGTGTTCGCTTTTTCCAGGCATATCCACATTATTAATCCGACTATAGTTCTTGTGAGTTTTTCTGTTTCTTTTTTTTTTCAAAATGTGAAATTGTAAAATGTATTCAATAAATGACAAATGCATTCCTGAAATGTACTTCTACATATATATTGTAAACAAAAATACCAGCTTTTGTGAGGAAGGAAAATATATTGGAACAAAAAATTGAACGATTCGCGTTATTTACTAACATGTTTAAAAACAGAGCTGTTTTGTAAAAAATATAGTTTCACATCCACTTTTGTAGCGAACGTTTTGTAATAATGTGAAATATGATTTTGGTCTTTATAAAATATTTGACATTGACACACCTGTTTTATTGCCTTATTCAATCATCGTATTTGTAAATTGAAGCAAAATAAAATTATAAAAGTGCATGGGGTAGTTTGTAATATAGGTGAGACAGTCCTTAACAGTCTATAGCAGAGTTGTCCAGCCTTTATGGCCGAAGGGCCACATGTTGCTTACGAATGATTTCGCGGGCCACATGACATGGTAGTTATTTTCTAGTTTTCACTACGCAGGGAACTAAAAACTCACACCAAAATTATGAGAACAATGAAAATACGAAGATACAGTAAAGTCAAGAGGTTTTAGCACACATAGATATTTCAATGTGAATTATGGCATTTATGGCAATGTGAATTATAACTTTTATTTAACAAGTTTGGTAATATTCGGTGCGATGAACGATGTAGCAATGCAAAGCGAATTTTCCATTTCACAGTCAGAAATTAGTGATATCACGGGGGATTTGACATGGTTCATCTGTGAAAATTTGCTGGTCAAATATTGAGGTCATAAAAATATAATGAAAATATAATTATTTTGTTTTGCTGATGTGGAAATACTGTAATAATTTTTTATATAAAAAAATCAAAAATATAGTTTAAGATAATCAAATTCGATCTTGTATTTGATATTGATTTTAAATTTTGTCGACAAGGTGGACACTGGATATATATTTTTTATTCCTCATTCCTGAATTTTTGTATTACTAGTTATAAAATATTCATCTCGAATAGGAAATATATTTCAAATATATAAATAAAGTTAATATAATTCTATAATATGAGCTTATTTATATCATGTCCCACCTTTACCTTGCACTTAAAGAATTTATTCTTTGAAGCTATATACATTTTTATAGTTGTTACATTATTATTATTGTTGAATTTTTATGTAAATTTAATAGATCAGAGGTGTTACGGGTTAGCTTGACCAAGAGATTTAATTTATATATATTTATTGGAATATTTTTGAACTTTTAACAGAAGTTCAGCTAAATCTGTTTAATATTGCTGTAAATACAATTTAGAATATTTGAACACATTTACTGTATATCCACACTTATAATATGGCTTCTCGGTATAAAATTTATTGGGATGTGACAAGTTAGAAAGGCAATGCTTCTTACCTGATATTGACGGGTTGTATAGAGTTGTACACGGTGTACATACTTGTTCAGAGTCAAAAACTTCACATCAAGTATGATAACTTTACATTACGAATGTAGAATATAACTTATCATCTGCTTTCAAAAATATTTATTAATATCCATTCCAAAATGAATTGAAATAATTGACATGATCACAATAATTGGCGCTCAAGAAGAATGTGCACCAATATGGCGGACACCGCAACTTAGTATGTGTACGCCATTATTTTTTTCCAATTTTCCTTATATATTTCCTTAGGTATATTATGAGTTCCGGGATTAGCCAAGTGACTACCGTATAGTATTTGTACCTGAAATTATGGCCCAACCTTAACCTGGTACACTTACTACTACGAAAGCACTTTATCTGTATATTTATTTCATTAGAAAAAAAAAATATTCTGAAAATTAAAAATATAGTGAAACAAACACGAAAAAGATGAGCGGAGATTTTATTTGATGGTGGATAATTTGTTTTGGAGAGAAAACCTATATTTGTAAGTAATCGTAATAACTACGATTTACCTTCTTACAGTATAAACTAGTCAGAAATATTGGAGATATCGTGCATTGCTTATGTTTGCCAAATTTTGAAAAAAATATCAATATATTGACTTCAAGTCAGTCAAAATATTATTTGATTTGTGTATACTTTTATTTGTAAAAACTGTGGGATATACGTCAAAACTGCAATAAATGCATCTGGGTATATATCAACAAAACAAAATACCAAAATATTATATTATTTCTTCCGAAACATACCAGCATATGTTATTGTTGTGTTAAAACTCTATCTTTGATATTGTATAAAATATAAATAAACTTTATTTATTCATTTATCTTTTTAGTTACATAGAACTAGTTGTGCCGGAGAAATATTATGAACATTTTGCACTTTTGATGTTCTTCCATTGGATGCAAGAATGTTTAACAACAAACCGAGTTCCATCTCATTGAACAATTTCGCAAATTATAATTTTGAAGAATTTTTCAAATAGCTCTGAGAACTTCAAATAAGAAAATAGTTCTGCATGTAAATATGCAGATAGAATCAATGGCTTTTATGATAGTTTATCGCCATATCTATGGACATTGAAGATCCTTTAAAAATAATCAATCTCGCTACATCATATTGATGAAAGACTACGAATACAATGACGCTCAATAATTTTCAAAGTATTTCAAAACTCGAAGTTTTCACTGTTTCATAGTTTTCAAATTACATTCAATGTACTTTTATTTTCCTCGAAAGAAATGAATTCATAATGAGTGCAGAATAGCTAAAAACTAAACTCCCGATTCGCGTACACGTGTATCGTTTTCATTATTATCTTTTCCGTGTGTGTATTTCGCAGTTTTATCTCCAGATGTGGGGTCCGATCCAGAATTAGCTGAGCTCAAGTCAGCCCTAGTTGTTCGAGTAAGAAACGACATGACGGCTGAAGCTGCTTTGCTACTCCTCATTCGTCTGAAATAAAATGATGTATAAAAAACTAATGAATTGAAAAAAAATTTTGGATATATGTAATTCTAAATTAGCATATAATCGGCATTAGCTTTAATAAAAATTTAAAGGTCTAAATTTCACATGAACTATTAATTAATACTGTAAAATGAACTTTCCAAAAAAAAAAAAGACTTTTAGGCGTGACAATGCTTTTGCAAGATGCTAAGTAGTCTAGTAGGGGAAAACATTTAACAGGATATGAATAAGACACGCTTACACAGTTATAAAATTTGTTTATCCAAAAAGAGAATTGGAACACTAGATAGATAGCAGTGGGTTGCTTAGGAGCAAAATCAACTTACCTTAATTGTTGCTTGAATCTGGCACCGATGAAATAGATATAGGGATTTATAGCAGAGTTCAGATATGCCATCAGAGATGCTGCGTAGAAGAGCTTGCCGCAGAAGTCGCTCTGAATAAAAAACCCTTATTAAATTTAGTTCCTTATGTATGGTAATTAATGTAAATGATTGTTAATTAAAAATAACGTTGTGCAGTTTTGGCTTTTCTTAAAAAATTAGATTTTCAGTTTAGTGAATTTTGTTCATTATATAAGTTAAATTGGCATTTGATATGGACATATTTTTCAATACTCACTGTTCCATGTATTCCTGTCATTTTTGCCATGTGCACTGAGTGGTATGGTAACCAACAAGCAACAAACACTAGGACAAGCGTTGCACACATAATCACTACTCTATTGGTATCCCGGTCATCCTTGGTTGGTTTATTGGAACCACAACTGTCCCCACGGAAACGTGTTTTACGGAGGTGCACTATAATGAGGGCGTAGCACATTGCTATGATCTGAAACAACAAAATGATTTAGTTTTGTCAATAACAAATGGAAGTTATGAAATGGAATGGAAATATTTTATAAAGTTACTCGCCACTTGAGGGCAGTAGTGGTATAATAAATACACTACTCCCAAATCTACCAAATAAAAGAGTTAATCTTTTTTAAGTTAATCTATGACAGTCTTTCCAGAAAAATATATCATTTGCGGAAAATATCAGAAAAAATACTGCAATTCAATATATTCGTAATTAGATCAAAATTTGTGATAAAATATATTTTACTAGAAACCACTCACTATGAAAGGAACGATGAACATAATTATGAAGTTGAAATACAAAAATCCAATGAATCCTTTGTTATAGTTTATATAATGACAACCTGGATGCAATGTATCTTCTGACTCCGCTATGCTACCATTCCCACTCTGTTCGCTATAAAAATTATGAGTATATGTTTAAGTTACTTTTTCTAAAATTTAATAAGGTTTATATTTACAACAATAATAACATCTAAATTTAAGACAATACTAATACTTAAAATAATCATAAAAGTTTTTCATTGCAAAGTAACTATTTTAAAATAATTTCTACCAGAGCGAATTTTAAGGGTGCTCCAGAAATATGCGCGCCAACATGTCGCACAACCTGAATCTCAATCGGTACACACATATTACGTTCAGGTTGTGCGCCATCTTGGTGCGCATACTTCTGGAGGTCCCTTTTGGGTTATGGGATTGGGCCTATTTATGTTGATATCAGAGGTCAAAATACACTGGCGTAATAAGTAAGGTTGGCTACATGTACTATGCCTATATAGAATCAATATATATTTAGAACTACGAAAATTATTTTTTAAAATTTTTTGGAAAAATCTTTTTACTTCATTTTTTCTAAAGCTCTTGAAAGATTACCTAAACTTTTTGTCATTGACATCATCATCATTGGTCGATCAGAATTTCATATTATACGGTAACTTCTAATTAAACATTTTGGTCCAAATGAAAGGTGTATGCAAACTCTAATAAATAAATAAAAACATATTTTGCATACTAGTCAGAAAAACTCGGCTCGGCGCATGCTGGCTCACTCTCTTGGTTAGCAAACAAATTTAAACAATCCTCATAAGAAAATCCCGATCCCAAGTCAACGTCCGGTCCCATCCCTTCAGATACACAGATTTCATGAGGTGACTTCATTGGCTCAGGAAATTGCAATCTGAAATGAAAACGTAATTATACAACCGCCATTTATTGTCAGTTAGAAAATAAGCAAATAACAAAATATAACAAAATAGGCATTTGTAATTTTAATTAACACCAAAATTGGTAACCCAGGATATTTCGCCAGTGAGACATCATAAATGCTTTCCAAATAATAACACAATAATACAGGTTGGAAGTAGGACATAATGCGTGCAATCTATAGCATGAACTGCAATAAAATATTTGGGTGCAAATTTATTTGAGTATATATATACATATGATTAAATCCCTTACTCGCATTTACAGTATGGCTCTTGTCCTCTCTTTGTACTATACATCATGATGGGAATGCAGATCAATACTGCAATTATCCACACTACAGCAGTAATAATATAGGCAGCTTTCTGAGTCCTCAACTTTTGTAGTCTATCAGAGAACGCGTGACAAATTGCAATGTATCGGTCCACAGCCATTACCTAAACATACAAAATTCATAAATTTGAATAGGTTTAGATTTTATGTGACATTGAAAAATAACGTTGTGAATGAATAAAAACGCGTCAAGCTTATTGTCATGTAAACCATAACAAACATAGTATTCAGCTCCGACAAATTGAAAAGATAATGGGTTAATTTAAATTTTTCAGGGTTTATTTGAAAAACATATATCATTTGACCAATTTTGAGTTTAATACGTCACGTCATGTAATTGGAAAGTATTTAAAAACAAATTTCATATAGATGATTTTAGACAGATGACAGATTTAATATTAATGCATGCCAATATGCAATTTAAAACTGAAATCCAACAAGCGTGAATTTGGCAATGCAGACCATCAATGCTATTAAATTTTGATGCTGACTGCCCAGAGTAGCATCGATCTAATTTTTCAACTAATAAATAGATGTCTTGTTTATTTCCAATAAAAGACAAAAAAAAAACATTCAATCACCTAATAATCTCCTGAGGCATTACGAATATGTGGAAAGACTAAATCAAAAATTTAGATACAATAAAAGCGTACCATGAGGAATGCTATTGAACTGTAATAATTTATAAACAATATAGCTTCTTTTGCTTTGCACATTCCATCGGGGAATATCCATTCGTTATTTACATCTTCCACAATTTGAAACGGAAGAGTTAGAAGAAATGCAGAATCGGCGATTGCAAGTTGGAGAATATACCTGAAAAAAGGAGAAATATTAACTAAACCATACATATGCAGTTGAACAGAATCATATTGTTGATGACTTTAAAATAATTCTGATTATACTTTGGAATAATAAGAAATAATTTAGAGTTAACAGATTGAATAGAAATAAAATTAAAATAAATATTTTTTCAATCAATTCTATTTAGAAGCGATATCAGGATATAATTAATGATAAAACGTGTTATAACAATGCTAAGATAGTCGCGGGGAAAACACAACTGTTTTATATGTCAAAATGGAATAATACGTTAATAATATAATTACCTAATTTCATGGAAATACAGGCAAAAATGTGATTATGTGAAGCATTTTACGCACAGTTTGTAGTAAACTTGTGATAATACCAAAAATCATAAAATAATTATTCGATTGATCATATTTGATGCTGGGCGTTCCAAATAATTTGCCGGTACTATTTTTGTCTGGAAATGTGTTTCAAAGGTGTCTGTGTGTAATTAATCACATACGTTGGACAGTTTTTATTTTTTAAATGTTAAAATGAGATCACGAAACATCCCTTTTTAGCACATAGACTAAAACAGCCTATACCGAAAAAAAGTATAGAAACAGATTTTGAAAATTATTGATCCTAAATATGAGCAACTACCACTACAAACTTATGAACCTGGTAGCTTGGTCCTGGTTTGACCTAGTATATTATAAAATGTTGGAATTTTTAGATTATTGGTGTTACCAGTAGATTTTAACCTTATGTGTATTGTACCAATTTTGTTAGATAATATAAAAAAAGGTTGTTGGCTGAATACTTCATGAAGCGACATTTTTACCTATTGATGTTTAAACAGCGAAATAGTCGAAACATTTGAATATAATCACCAGTTTTTATTTGCACGAAACCAAAACTATGATTTACGTGCAAACGACAATTTTTTATCCAGTTTCAGCTCCTATTATAGGTATATATGCAAAATAAAAATAAAATAAAACAACGTTTGTTTCGTTGGCCAAATCATTTTTGGAATATTTGTTTTCGATTGTTCGATGAAACTTTGAGTTTGGATATACTTTATTGTACAAGGATAATTTGCAAATTGGTAAATATGAGTCATCGTGTTTTAGCAATTCCGGTATGAAATCAGTTCCTGTAGTAGCGGAAATTCAAGATCACTTACAAAATCAATCACTTCAACAGATTACAAAGTGTGAGATATGAAAAAAATCGACTATTTCGTATTCACACTTCAACATATTTTGCCTTTCCTTACTTCTATGGCAGCCTACCAGTATGAACGTTAATTTTTAACTCATTTTGACAGATCATAAATATTTTAATATAAACCCATATTATGAATTATTATTATCATCAACAATTCCTAACGAAACCTATTCAGAATCCGAGATTCGATAAAAAGACCTCACACATTAGATATCAGTACGTCCAATAGTTTGTTAGCAATGCATATATTGCATATACTGACCTATTTGGCAATCTTACTTGACTTTGAAAATTATTTGTTTATAGTGACTATACTATATGTTGCAAACAGTGAAAAAATTTCAATTATATTTCCACTATTGTTTTTCGGTGAATAACATAATACGTATATTTCTTTCTGAGAAATTCAGCGGTAAATCAATTCAAATTTATAACTGCTCACTCGGGTGTATAAAATTTTCAGACTAATATATATGTGTCCATTGTTTGTGTCTTCAATATTCTCTAATTTTGACGTGCTCAATAGGCTTATACACAACAACAAAAATGAAATGAGCAAAACAAATTTCTTTTCCTCAAATTGTCAAAATTTCTTAAAAAATTTTAACATTTTTTGTTCAAATCGGTTGAAATAATTCTTACCAATGTGTGATTCCTTTTTTGAACTCTGTGAGTAGCAAAATCATCGTAATTACAATTAGGTTTCCCAGAACACCAACTGTACAAACAAATACACGGAAACCATTTATGGCTCGTAGTTCTGCATCTAGAACGAACTCCTCGTTTGTCACGTCGTAATCTGGAAAAATAAAATTCAAATAACAGCGTATAACAAACAACAAAAATAAATAAAGCATAAAATTTTAACAAAGCGATAAAATGTGCTATCATTTTTTATCATTTTAATACAGAAAGGCATATAACATATAATTTCTTGTTTGCAGTCTCCTCATAAACTTGCATTTGATGATAAAATAATAGGTTATAAAAGTCCAACATTCATCAAGCTCGTGCGATGAAAAGTTTAACTGAAAACGTAAATTTTTAAATTTTGCAGATCAGAATACTATAATCAACGGTCTATAAATTAATTTTTACATTTGGAATCTGTGTAATTATAATAAATATGAAATAGGTGCATACTAAGTATATTAACCCAGTTACATCTTGAATAGCCTTCACTATAGAATGCTAATTGGCTTAAACAACAATTCATTCGTATAATATTTATTTTCAGTCGGCATAAGTTGAATGCATTATATAGAATGGATTCTCCTGGAATCTTGCGTGCCACACAAAAAAGTCTTATCGAAAATTAAAGTTTGATTCCATTAGAATGATATCAAAGAATTTTCACGATGATAAATTAACTTTAAATTAATAGATTTGATTTTCAAAAAAAAAGATGCTTGACAAATTATCAATGCACATACCCGCGACAGCTGTAGTAAACACTGATTGGTCGGATACAATCTCTTCGACTCTTGGAAGGTCATCCATTTTTAGTTGATAACTAATTTCTAATGTACACTATAAAATATAACATTCTTAATTTACCTCCTGAATATATGGCTGGCTTTATTTTTTTCTATATTTTTGTTATCAATATCTAGAAAATTTCACATTTACCGCTAAGCTATTTTATCTTATCATACAATGATCTTCGTTCTATTTGCAGAACACGCGAAAATCCACAAACCAGTATAACCAAATTTATGAGCATCTTTTGAAGTTTTGCAGTATTTTTTCATTAGCCTAAAAATCAAATGAAATTTAACCGCGAAATAGACCACGATGGTTCGCGGTGATCCAGTAAACCGATCATTTCATCATATGCTTCTCGATATACTGTATACTAGTGGATATCATGCGAAAAGCTCAAACATTATGCTATTTTTGATAACTTACATATGCTGGCTGTCTACCTCCTTTTCTGATGCGCACAACCAAGAGAATAATAAAAACAAATAAAATATTCTTGCGCAACTGCCTACCCGAATTAACGATCAAACTTTGATTGAACTTTCATAAGTGAAACCTGTTTTGACAAATCAAAATTTACATTTATGAAAGTGAAATTCTAAATCATGATTATTGAATATAGGTTCTAAATCCCGCCCACAATCCCTTGATAATACTAAATAATTATACTGAAGAAGCATTGAGTTGCTGAATTGCACCATTTCTTTGCGTTTAAATATATCTTATACTTATAATTGTTACTGCGTTTTATATAAGACGTTTCCTCTGACATAAGAAATGAGAAATAGCTGTTTGCTCAAACTCTGGACCTGAACTGAGCGTACGCAGCGATACTATGTATTCCTTAATCAATAACTATGGAAATTTGGTGTGACGTTCTACAATTATTTTTACATTCTACATACTACGTGTTTTATATTTTTTTACAGTCGCTTTCACGTTCGGAAGTCACGCTCCAGACCATCGTCATATTCCAAACTACGGTAAACACACTATTCTCAGTTGGTAACAGAAACTTGATTGGCCGTAGAATGCAAGTGGACGCGAAAAAGAATTTAAATATGATTCAAGCTTGTAAAAGCACGGGATCCTTGATTCTCGAAAATAAGACATGACCTTGCATTGTCGTCAAATGCACGTATTTAACAAGATAAGAAGAATTTAGCTAGCGTACATAAAAAAAAAATTAAATTTTCAAGAAAATATTATTTTAAATTGTTACATAAATACCAATAAACAAAGTTATTTATATTGACCCATTAAACGAATTGAAACAACTCATATGAACGTTTTCATTCATCAATTAAATAATTATGAAGATTGAATAATATACAAATAAATTAATATTGTTTCTGATCTATTCAAGTCACTCCTTTCATATTCAAGCTATATAATAAAGTAAAACCTGGTTCTCTTAATAAACAAAAGAGTAATGTTAAAATAAATTGAACTAAACTGTAAAAATACTGTTCCCATAAATTAAAATAAAAAAAGTGAAATTTCCGGCAAAACATAGGTCCTCATATGTCCATGGAAAGATTGTCTTCTAGCGAAATTCTCAAGTATCATAATTTAGAAATCGATTTATCCTATAGTTGGGAGTTAAAAAGAAAGATCTTTTCACAACTGCAACAACTACTCCAAGCTACTCAAACAAACTACTAACAATAGCAGTAGTTTAACAAAAAACGACCCATATATACAATTCGTGTCCAAAAATGCGACAAAGGATAATTATACAGTGACTGGCAATATCAATTGACAGTCATATTGCCACTTCAAGAACAATATATTGGCAGTGGGTTTGTCAAAGAAATGCTGCTTAATTGTGAATGCAATTGTATATACAAGTCTGATACATGAATTGATCAAAAATTAAACATTCTGCCAAACGAACTGTCTGCAAGGGCACAAAATATATTGAAATAAATCTTTTTCAAGCGGCGGGTTTTTCTATTTCTATTGTAATTATTATAATGTACACCTCATCATAAAAAATATTTGAAAAAAGGACCCTTTCGAACTCAAATTGTTTTAAGCTGTTTCTGCATTTACTGCAAATTACTGTTTCTCTACAGAAATCCACCCTAAATCCTATCTTTAAGTTCTTATGGCTAAATAGATCTATAATCTATTTTCACGCGGAAAATGCATTGCATTATTGATGATTTTTCTTACGACTGAGATAAGTAAAAAATAGATCCGGTATTTTAACTTTCAGCACAATTTTAGACTATGGCATAATAATGACTGTGATAAAAAATACCTTTAAAGTGCAGGATAAATATTAGTAATTAATAAGAAATATGGAAAAACACTAAATGATTATTTAATTACTCATTGTTGATATCATTCCAACCGAAAGTGCAAATGATTTTTGAATTTTAGTGAAATTTCTGTTGTCTAATTATTTATTTGATATTTCTGACCATATTTTTACGGTATTTACCAAATTCGTTAGTCAATTCAAGAGTTCAAATTCTCATTTGCATGCACAAATATAATGATATTTTCAATCATTTTTCGATATTTCCACGTAATCGGATCACGTTACATTTCATTTTAAAAATGACGCGGTGATTAACGTATGGCATGATTTCAAAATGATATGGGATTTATTCAATACTATAAAATATATCGAATCAGTTGGAAAAATCTGAAATCGATAAATTTTGAGCCTGATGTCCAGTTTCATATATGCATTACATTTGCTGTAATAGTCATTATTGCTGAGTAATTTAACACAATTCAAACAAATCTAACCGCCAACAACTAACTAATTTTAAAATTATGCAATTAAAGAAAATTCATCAATAATTGGCACCTCTAAATTCCATACATATTTTAAAATCTATGATCGGTAATAATTTTATATAAAAATAAATAAATACTAAAATAAACAAGAACAAAATCAGCATAATAATAAAAGATCTAATTATGTACACTTCGCCCGAATAAAGAAAAATGAGGTTGGGTTAAAGCGATTGTTGTTCATGCGGCATTTTAGATCTTTCTTGCGCAGTATAGCCCATGCAATTACTAGAATTTGACGTAGAGTGTGTGTTGTGACATCATGCGTAGTCGCTGTCAAATTTTTATTAGATGAAGTAAACGTGCTTAGGCTTAAATTGCTTACAACTATTCAAAAATAAATCTCGAAGTAAACGATTTCCTCACTTATCCTAGTTAACTTAAAAATGTGCTTTTAAGGAAGAAGTATTAAATTTTTGCCGAACGCAAAGATTCCTTTCTTCCAAATATAGAATATCAATGACTTGTCTATTACCTTGTTTAAAGCGAATAACGTAAATAAGCTGTGTATATTGAAAAATTTCCATTCTAAAGGTTTGTTCTGCTTAACAGCGTAAAAAGGGAGTGAATCTCAATACTTAACGTTCCTATGAATATTTCATTTAAAAAAAACACACATCAGAATTTCCTCCTATTGGTTTAACCCTGCTAAAACGCTAAAAAGCGCAAATTTCCCGGCATTTATTGAATGTCTCTGGAGATCAACGATTAGGCGTAAATATTTTGAATATTTAATGTCCTTATCAGGTATATCACGATTTGTGACGTACTGTATCTGGTTTCGTTTTTGAAAGGAAAACTCTAACGATATATATAAAATGACAGAAAAAAATATGGCAAGATCAAAGAATGAAAATACAAAACACGGAACATATTGGTCGTATAGAGTAGACTATAGAGTATTAAATGAAAATATTTATAAGTTTGAATGGCGCAAAAAATTGCTTTGCTTGACTGACCATACAGAGGTTAAATGCGTAAATGCTAATATTAGTTTTACTATATTAGCGTTTAGCTAATAATATTCAATCTCAAAGTCGTATTTGCTTTCAATATCAACCAATGATCTTGTAAAAAGTGTAGATCCTTTACCGGGCGATTGCTTGTCAACAACTTGTCAACAATTGCTTCTTCGAAAATTAATTAAACATCCTGCAAATCAGCAATAAACCAATGCTTAAAATATCAACACGAAAGGCAAATGGCTGATATGGACTCTGTAAACCACTGTTAAATGTTTTAATTGATTTGTACCGAATGTCATACGAAGGTGTGTAAAAACCAATAATATAGGATTGTGCCCTCAGGCCTCAAAAAAAATTAAGAACGGTAAAAGTATTCGAATCTCCACGACTCATCTTTAGGTACCGAATGTCATACGAGTGTTTACGTAAATTATAAAAAAAAACAAAAATATTTACTGTGAAGTATTGGGCCCTCAACGAACTCCAAAAATTTGATAAACAATAAAAGCGTTCGACTCTATACGACGTTTTCCATTTTCAAGAACTGAAATTTCGAAATCGATTGGTCCACCAGTTTCCGAGAAAGAGTATTGCTAAGATTATCAACGCTAACCCAGGCAAAAACTAAAACAACGAAATTTAGAAAATGACCTATAAGTTCAATTTGTGGCCATTAAACTTTTGGGTAATGTCAATATATTTTTTTTACAGTGCCTAACTCTATCAGTGAACTTTATTTTAGGACAACTTTCGGAAAAGGTCACACAAGAAATAAAATCTATTGTTGGAAATGCCAAAAGAGAAAAGGATTTTTGTTTGTATTTTTATCCTATTATTGATGATGGCTATGACCAGCAGACAATATTCTATCCTATTTTATTTACTCTGAAAATACCGTGATTATGAAAATACATTTACTAATTTTGTATAAATACCATCGCATTTCATTTCAATTCTGGTAAATAAATAGTTTTTACATATGTTTATTAAAATTCATTTTGGTAAAAAACGAGAATATATATATAAATGCATTTGATATTTTAACACTCATTCAAAGTATTTTACCATAATTAGATAAAAGATTTGAATTATTTAATTGCGCGTAAACATGAAGTAAAAATGCAAATCTTTTGAGTTTTCTACGTTTCTTTCTACGTCCCTTCCCACTATTTTCAGAATTGAATAAAATCTCATATATGTCTATATGTAAGTTGAGTCAATACATTCGCGATGAAATGCCGGGAAGCATTTTTGTTGCGCATTTGTTTTAGTTTGCGAGTGTTAATTAGACTACGAAGGAGTT